TACCTGTGGACGGCAGTTTGGATTGCTTTCCATTACCACTTGTATTTTCGACTTTAGAAAGCATAACATCAGATACTGACGTAGTGGGAGCAGAGTATTCACTGTTGACATCTTCATATGTCATGCATACATCTTTAGCAGTTTGAAAAGTACAAGAAGGAATCTGAATTAACTCTTTCTCTAATTTAGGAATATTGATTCCAGCAATTAGACGATCACGTAGTTGAGTGTGCAGCTGATCTCCAAAATTACACTTTGAAGCTTGTATTTGGAGTTGTAGTATAAAGTCTCTTATCTTCTGATTGGGAGAACGTACCAGTTTGTTGAACTGAGCCCTCTCTCTGGTCTCAAAAGTAGTTACATGGAAGTGATCTATAAGAAGTTCACGGAGCTTAGCATATGGCAGCGAAATGGGTTTATCTGGAAATACCAGATTCTTCACCAGGCTATATGCATCAAGCCCAATAGCGGTGATGAAATGAGCAGGTATTTTATCATCCCGAACATTCTTGGAAATGCACCACGCATCGAAGCATTCCAAATAATCAGCAATCTCCCGCGGAGAACCATTAAGAGGAAATTTTCCCAGGTTACTTAGCTCCATCGCGACGCCAATTTGTAGTAATTTATTGTACTTGTAATATTAGTGTTTCGAGATGACGGAATTATAAGAATCCAAACAAAACCCAGAGAGGGCAGCAATCAGGAATTTGTATTTAGCGGAATTAGAATGCAATTCATATAAGAAACATATCAACAGTCAACAGTAAGTATTTTAAACAATACAGAGATAGAAATTGTCAATCACCACATCCTGCGCTATTTGTGGAAATGCCTGGAAAAATTGTAGAGTGTTGTATTTTTGCCAGTCATTCTGAAAACCATCACCGAGTTCTAGTATTCATGCATAATCAAACCGTTTCAGAATTTACTCATTAGAGAATTTTAGAGTTAGTTCAGAATTAGTGACGTTTAATTTGGTATTATAGTAGGCTTGTGAATCAACCGATGAAATAAAATGCCCCTGCACATGCTTAAAACAATCCTTAACCTACTCCAATCTATTCCTCGATAATGCCTTTATATGGTAAATGAAGATTTTATCTACCCAATGTATTCTGAAGTAACACTAGTTCGTGCACAATATGTCCTGTGAATGATGGAAAAACGCTGATAAGCAGACTTTGTAGGTTCTGATCTACTCCTGAAAATGCCTAGAAGAAGAACAGGGTGCTGAATTAGTGCCAGTCATGCTGAAAACCAGCACTAAGTTATTTTTTCTTTCCTTCACGTTCCCCAGTGAAAAATAGGGCTTGAAACTAGTGGCTGGAAGTTTCTATAGCAGTGTTTGTTTTACAGGATGGGGTTGCTAGCCTCATGCCCAACCTTTCATCTTTACCAATCTTATTTCTGGCTTGGCGAGGTAGAGGAGTGCATCGGCCGGGGGTAAAACCCCGGACCATGTGCACGGTCAGTGAGCGTCCTAACCGCTAGACCACGGACGCACAGCACTGATTTCTAGTCTGTGCTATTAAATAATCCATTCCAGAACAGATTCAGAATTCACTCACTATAGAATGTAAGAATTATTTCAGATTTAATTCAGCATTACAGTAAGCTTAGGTGGAAAGTGAGAACTTTATAAAGCAGTCAAGTAGTGTTTGAAATTACCGCAACACTAATGAGAAACTGACCAATCACTGGCGGAAGGACAAAATAACGTCTATCGGCTGGCTATGGCGATGGATAAAGGCACACACGGGGTGTCGTTATGTGTTGTGTTCGGGTTGTTCTACGTTGTTTTCAGGTATTTTTTCAACTGAAATACATTATAAATACCATATTTTAACGAAAAAACTTAGAAAAATGGTGGAAAGTAGACACTTTCAGCAGTTTGAGTGAACATGTATCTGTTATTGAATTTCGTTATTTCTTTCCATGTGGAATGTTAAAACTCTGTGTTAATTGTTGATTACGTTAAGGAAAACGAAATCAATTAGGAAATGGATGCATATTTTGCGAAATTCTGAAAGGGTGTCTTGAATCTCTGAGATATGAAAACTTGGTAACACTCAGAAGAGTCTACAGCTATAAAGGAGTGTTAGTTGATTTATTCGCAAGATAACAGTTAATAAACAAATTTTTTTAAATAGTTACTTTGGTTTGGAGTATTTTCGTGTTGCTAATTATTTGTTAACGGATGTCATACTATTGTTGATTTGCAGGTTGCAATTGTAATTTACGGAGTGATTCACTTTATTTGGAGGCTTTAATGAAGTGCAATCGAAGAATTTGCGCGTTATCGTTGGAATCTTTGTGACATTATAAAATTATTTATCAAAATAAATATCCCTTTAATGTTTTAACGGTATTCTTTAAAGAATTCACTACTACTTCCCTTTGCTTGTCGAAGGAATAGTGATGTAGCCGGTTTTGGAATGCGTAGTGATTTAATCTGAAAGAGTGATAATTTACGCAACATAAGAATACTAGGATTTTCTTCAATAGGATATACCTATAACGCGTTATTTTCGATGTACGTAGCCGCCCTACATTTGTTATTATGTATACGTAGTAATCGCAAAACAAACCTAAGCTCAACGTACATTTTTTCTCAAGCTCTGATGAAAGATAATCTTTTACGCAGCCGTATTGAGTGTAACTGAAACATTTCATGGGAGGCTTGATGACGCACTGAGGAAATAATAACGGTTTACGATTATCACGCATTTCACACAAGTATTACTACGTTGCCTATCAACTTCGTTAGCTATGCAATGTCCTCGGAATGATAATTAAGAGAGGTACATGTAGTCAACATAAATGCATATATTTACAAAATAAAAACAGTTAAACAGTACATATTCACATTAAAAAGGGTGGAAAAAAATCACAGTTGTAGATTTTTTATGGGTACATGATTGTCAAATTAAAGTCCACTAATCGTCTTATCCACAATATGTGGATCAGTTTCCCTTAGATGATTGTGACACTGGACCAGTCTTTACAGCTTTCAGCACCACCTGATCCTTCAGAAGAAACTGGTTATGACCTTTCCATGCAAAGATTAGGATTGTATTCCTTTGACCACCTCTGGCCACACTGAGAAATATTTAAGGATATATACATATCAGATGAATTAATCTTACCTCAGGTGAACAATCCCTAATCTTAGCAACAATGAATATGTGAACAAGGGAGGGAACAATAGTAGAATCGGTATGAACAGTCCATATATCCCATAATAAACTTAAAGAATCTTAGAACTTCTGATTTATCTTTCACAGTTTGTTTTCTGCAAAATGCAAATGTTACACAAATGCCTCTCCTCTCTATCCGTCACAATCAACTGAAAAAGACTAAATCTTCAAACTTTATACTTCTTTGATTAAGTTACCCAATAATATTCTCTTTTTTAGTGGGTCCACATGCATATCACATCTGTAGAATCTAAACATGAGTTAACTTGTGTCCTTAAGCTGAAAAAATGTAATGTTTATGCGACTTTTATTATTATCATTTCAAAGCCCGCCTTAGTAACGTGAGCTACGTATTAGCCGCAGCGTTTACGCAAAGTAAAATCTATCAATCACAGTATGCATATGTGACATTGAGGTGCTCAGCCTCTCCATAAGGTCGTGTGTGCCTTTATCCATTGCCGGCTGGCTATTTATTCTCGGCACTTTATAGTTGGCCATTGCCTTCCGTTCCACTTCCACTCCAACTAGGTAATGTGTTCAGGTTAAGGTGACTCTAAAGAATAGCGGCCCAAACCGAAACGACCTTTGAACGCCAAAATGACCTTGACAGGGACAACTTCGGCCATTGAGAAGGCTCAAAAATAAAGGCGCATAATTGTAAAAAATGGTTTATGTAAAAGTAATGCAATCATAATAAACAGTTACAAAGAATGGCGTTCGCGTATATGTTGCGAAAAAACCTCCCAGTTTCTCATGGGAGTCTTCATAGTCATATGAAACCAGTTTCGGTACATAAATTCATCCAGGTAACTGTAAATCATGGGACTTCTTGATCCATTAAACGCTCTTATACGTCTTTTTAGACGACTCCAAAAACTTTCAATGGAACTGGTGTGGGTTCCATCCAAAGGATTCCGAAAATGTCCGCATGATTAACAACATGATGAATGTACCCATGATTCGATAATTGACGGTATCAGCTGCATTCATCTGTATGAACAGTCGTCCCCAGCAACACCAAACGCTTATTAGTAGGGGCGAAGTTTAAGAATAGCGTCCCAAAACCTTCAACGCTCAAATGACCTTGAATGCATACTAGCTGTTTTCATGCATTTTTTGTGAATATACGTCATTTTTCGTGCAAAAATTCCTCATTTTTATGATTGGCTGCCTGAAGGTCACTCGTGCGTTCGCATCCCTTGGGACGCTATTGTTGAACTTTGCCTTAATAGGCACTAATACTGCTGCACTGCGATCGGGAATCGCTTCTATATACCCTTTGCGCAGTGTCGTGTCGTAGATACCCAGTATCCACTGCTGGTTTGCTTGTAATCTCCCGCGGTTGTATTTCCTTTTTATAAGTACAGTCATCAGTATGGACTATGCTGCCGACTCCTCCGATAACTTGAGTCAGGGTGTTCATTTTCCAGGAGGAAACATCTCTGCAGTAGTTGTACCATTGCACTGCTGACACCTCTGAATTTTCTATTTCATAAGCTGCAGCTGTGACTGCTCTTTTCAGGACCCAGAAGTTACAGATCATTAAAATTTTCGTCAAAGGTAGTTTAGACCTTGAGAGAAAAGTTCCTAAGGGATCTGTAAACTAAAAAACAACGACAAACTTTCTCAAACCGATATCCTCCTTCGGCACTCAATACATCTGTATACAAAGCCATCAATGGCCTCTGTGTATTTTTGTATATGCATAACTCCTCCGCATTGGCAAATTTTCGACAAAGCTATCAGTCCGTTATCCAAACAGTAATCGAAAACATCCATGTTTACTTTCGAAAATGACACAGTCAGCTGATACCTTGCTCAAGGTCACTTTTTTGTTCGAAGGTCGTTTCGGTTTAGGCCGCTATTCTTTAGAGTCACCCAGGTTAATGTTGTATTGGTCAGGGCTTCTTCTTCTTCATCTGAATGGTCAGTGCTGCTCTTTCTAAAGCATACATTGTGTCCGCATTATTATTCGTTTTTATTCTAATGATAACAGCTAATGCTAATATCTTAGGTCACTGCAGCATTTCGCAAAGCCGTGTAGCCCGTTCCGTCCTCCATGAGGTAGGTTTTTCTAATTTGTCGGAAAATTCTTTTACGCATAGAAAGGTTATTTTCCCCCTATTCGATTATACAGATGTGGTTATTGCTGACCAATGTCCATTCAATCCCAAATATGATATTTACGCTGTACACGAACAAATGAAGAATAAAATATCTGACTATGATTGGGAGTGTCAGATGTGTGGGAAACGGTTTTATACAGAAAAATCATTCGATTCACATATTGGTAATAGGCATAAAATAAATGCTTATAGTCAAAGTCGAACTATTTGCTTAGCTTCATATTGTCCACTACTCCGCTGTTCTGTGTTGAAACCAGATTTCGCCTATGGAAATCAAATGTTCTGGGATGAAGCACTTTGCGAAACAGGATCATTTAGTGATATTTCAAAGCAGTGTGAGGTGAGCATTTCCACTCTTTATTTATTTACTTATTTATTTTAATGATGATAAATAATCTAGTTCCCTTTGCCTCATACGATCTGTATTGAGTACTCAACCAACACAACTCAGTAAACAAGTGCAGGTTTGATTCCTGGCTTGGTAGACAACACTCATACAGAGTGGACCATAACTCAATGAAAGTCGGGCTATTGAAGGTAAACTGATTTAATCATGTAATTATGGGCCCAAGTGTTACGATGCATCGCCACCTCCCTACGTTTATCAGAGGAGATTCTGTGTACTGTCACATATGTGAGAATACAAGAAACTATCGTTCTAGCAACTAAGAGTATATATATATATATATATATATATATATATATATATATATATGGTACTCACTGGGACCAAACAAAACGGGATAATAGTACATTTTTATTTATTCTTTTTATTACAGCTTCATTCCACACCGTATTTTTGGTACAAGTATGGAATTTTCAGCGTGGATATCGGTAGCCCAAATTTCGCAGGTCGACCACAGATTTCAGGTGTGCGTTGGCGTGTGCTCGAACCCCGGACCATGTGCATGGTCGGCGAGAGTCCTAACCACTGTACCACTGACGCACTTTCCTTAACGTGGTGGTTGCGTTTGCATATCACAATGGGCTAACGCGTTACAATGGTTGGAACTTATGTTCCTCAAGCTCCTACGATGTGCCGGGAAGGTTCCTTGAGCAGCGATTGCACTAAAAGCAGTCAAGATCATAGTGTGTTGTGCTTTCTGGGCGGAATCATACTGTTTGCGAATAGGGATGTAAGAGCGACAAGGTGTTTCCCTCAGGTGACCGGCAAGTCGGCGGTGCTACCACTTCCCTCTGGGAGGAGGCGGGGTTAGGATATGTCAACCCCGAAAATTGTACATCCTGACTTACCTTGTGTTAATATGCAGACAATCCCTAAAACCACTTCACACAGGTTTTGTGGGACACATCTGAAATAGTAATCCCCTGGGCTCTGCGGTCACGCAACACTGATATTCCTTCTGTTTCAAATACTCCAAGAAGAAATAAAATTCCACGGTGTGTCTCACCGACTGTAAATGAGGATAAAAAGGCTTTCCCGGAAAAACCATGCAGACTTTAGGTCAGAGAGAGGGTGTATTGATCATATCTTCCCGTTAGACAGATTCTGGAAAATAGTCATGCTTACCACTGTTTAACTCTTGCCATGTTTCTTGACAAGAAGACGGTATTTGAATGAGAGGCACTGTGGTAGTGTTTGTCTGTGGTGAGAGTGCCGATAAAGTATATTGCACCAGTCATGACACTATTCGGACTCACACAGCTGTGTCATAGCTTAGCTTAAGGAGAGTCGTCGTCATTCGAGGTTATGACAACCTTTAGTATCTTCCAGGGATGTCCAATGTCTCCACTTCTCTTCGATTTCATCATAGGTGCACCAATGGATGTGACATCGGTTAACTCTAGCGACTTAGGGATTGACTTGTCATCACCAGGGAACGTTTTCGTCGTCTTGGAGTATATGAACCATATTGTCTCTCTAGGTAGAGGTGTTCAAAAAAAACTACTGAGTCTTCTGAACACCCAAAGTAGAGGTCTTGGTATATATTCGATCTGCTCCTGTCAAATGTGAGATGATGCTGCAAGGCTGGTCTGCACCGACTCCTATCTTAAAGGTAGGAAGTGAAGTGAAGTGGTAGAGCATCTTGACTACTTCATTGAATTGGGGATTCGCATCAGTCCTAAGTGACTGATTGTTGGCGGGAATCTCAGCACGCTGTTCGTCAACTTTCATCATCTCTGACGTCAACGTGATATGCGTCTGGCTATAGATCAGATAACTTGTGTACTACTGCGCAGCAGATCGCTCTCTATTTCCTCATGGCTGGCTGAGACATGTCCATTGAAGGTGGGAGATATGGTAAGCCTGGTTGTCTTTGATTTGGACCACACATTTGAATCCTATCTCCTATGTTAAGTGTTATAACATGGTTAGTAATAATAAGGTTAGTTATAGAGTCACAGGTGAGGAAGGGTAGCCCATTGATGAGGTTGTGAAACTATATTTGTCGAAGTGGCTAGGACAAATGTTACACACACCAAGTCGCTGACTTCCTCAACGAGAAATGTTAGCTGACTGACATAGGGTTAGGTTTGGGAGAGTTACGTATATTCGAACCAAAACCCTGCATCAATCCTTAAGTTTTTGACAGTCTCTGTAATCTTTCATATTCCTTTCTACCATTACCCATTCTGTTTCACTCTTATACTTGTCAAACTCTATTGATTCTCTTCACTCATCTTCTTGTCTACCTCTGTGTGCTATTTGGAACGTGGCAACTCGAACTGCTGCACTTCGGTGCCTAGTTCTATGTTGAATCCAGACAGTTGGTTTGAACCACCTACGTGGGTAGGCGTAGACTGCTTGAATGAGTATTTGGAGGTAGTAGGGAGCAAAGGTTGGAGACTACCGGTGACATGGTTCAAAGCCATTCTCAATGGTGCAGATGCATTTACTCTGTTGTTTAGCCTCTCAGAACCAATAAATCCTCTTCGTATTGCGTCATATTGGTTTTACTCTCGTGCATAACTGCTTATTGAAGTACTTTGGAACCTCCTGTATGTCTTTTCTTTACGTTTGCGTGCCATATGGTGTTAAACGAGTAGCACTGCTACATGTCTGTGTAAAGTTTTATGTTAAAACTTAGCAAAGTTCTGAATGAACTTTGGTTGGTTACTGAAGGTTTATTACTACATTGCTGACTGGATAACAGATATCATCTGCTGTAATTATAACTGTAGGTATAATACGGTGACAGTGGATTTATTTGAAAGATAAACTGCCTGACATAATTTTAGTCTAATATATGCGGGCAAAAGTTGGACAGAAAACTATTGTGTTCATATAAATGCAAAATAAGAATTGCATTATTTTACAATGAGTCAGTGCAAAAGTTTCATATTTACTCCAGTATTCAATACCACACATAATAGGAGGCACTCACTGAAATAGGATAAAACACTTCTTATATAGCTTTGGTGTTATTCTTAACTGGTAGGAATAGCGATGTTGTCTAGAATTATATTGTAAAGTCATTGGTGGTATCAGAGTGCTCAACCAAGTGGTCCAGGGTTCGATTCCCGGTTCACGCACTCGTATGCCTCGTTTAGCGGATAAGAAGGTGGAGTGCTAGACTAGCAGCCCTACTCCGTAATAACAACAGCACTATTGCCAGTGAAACTTTAGATCTCAAGCTCGTAGTCATATGTTCCACTTAACATGGTCTTAAGTAGTGTTAAGTGTAAGAGGAATGATTTTCCGAAATGCAATCGTTATCCTTTTTATTGTTTATTGCTTATATCATTCAGGATATTTTGAACAAATGTGCGCCTGGAAATGATAGCAGTCATATCCAACTACATCGTAAGTGTTTGTATGAACAGTTTTACACTATGAGTATCTTCATTTGGTGTATATAATTCCCCTTTTTTTAAGGTTTACCTTAATCACATCCATTACCATTTGTTCGGGAAAAACCCCATAAAATCCACATAAACGACCTGGTACAGCCGAAGGTGAGTAGACTTCGGTGTTCCTGTCGAAATGATCTCATATGGCCACTCATCCATGGGCTCTGCTAGGTATGTCGTGTCGTCTGCATGCACGCGGTGGGGGCTGTTCCTCACAGGAATCGAAGGGAAAATGCGGACGTCATAACCTATAGTGTTCATGGGCTCCAGAATTCGAAATGATCGAGTAGCGTATGAACCTGTTTTGGTCACTGAAAACGCTGTTTCACTATTTTATGGATCAGACTACAAATCAGAAGCATGGGAGGGTCCCCTAAGACAGCCACCAACTTGTTGCTGGGCGGCGTCCTAGCAGAATCTCACTCCTAGCACCGACAATGAGATTTTGTGTGGCGCATCTATTAGTACCCAAAATGTATCAAGTTTGTTTTTTAATGGAAATAATATGGCTCATTGGTCTAGGCTCTCCGACTTGCAAATAAGTGCATCACAGGTTTGAATTCTGCTCCACACAATGAGGTTCGGACAATGCTGGGTAGTATAACCAACCTTCACACAATAGGTGTGACTTGTTTCCAACTGCATAGGACTGTAAGTAGTTGTCGAGTAATATTAAGCTAAGAGTATAAAGTGGTGGTTGTTATAGTAATATAGTCTTTGAATATGTAGAGATGTGGCTCATTGACTTAGGCATCCGGTTCAGATTCTCCGGTTCACTGGTTCGAGTCCTACTCCATCCATTTCAGCATGGCCAACTAGAGAGTATCATGAGCCATTGAACACGATAAATGCGATTCTTAGCCTGGTATACGAAAAACCTGTTCCAGGTAACTGAACTTTAATATTCACAACAGTTAATTGTAACAAGGTACGATTTCGACCTCTTTTGTTGTTTGGTTTTCTTATTAAAATTAACTAGGAATAAATTTTTAGTATGAATGTTGAAAATGTTTTCTGTTGCCACATTATTTTATTGTCGGATAACTCATCAAATTATTCTTTGTATACTTTGATTGGACACTAGTAACAATTGTGATGTATCTAGCCCTTTATTTTGATGCAGATTGAATTGTATCAGTCAGGTGTGCGATGTGGCTACCATGCTACTAGTTGGCTTGCTAGCACGGTGCACTTTGAATTGTTGATAATAGATGGTTGAAAGCAATCAGCAGGAAGTCTTACCTGACCTAAGTTTCGTGCTAATTGGCACTCACCAGTTAGCAAGGTGTATCTGCAACCTTGAAGGAGGAACTTATATCCTTTGTATATGTACGTGTTCTTTGTATATGAGTTCGAAGAAGGTTGGTGTGTGAATTGTTTGAGGTAATGTATCTACTTCGTAAATCTACTCTAATATGTTTCAGTGCATTTGTGTGTTGTGTACACTTAATGACTGACAGTGTAGATTACGAGATTACTAAGTTATAATTACCTTTACAAGCATAATTGACGGAAAAATAATATAGGTCATATGATAAATATTTGTTCTCATTGTTTTTAAGTAAGTGAGTGCTGGATAAGAATCGGAAGACCAAGGGAAACAATCGCATTCAACGATTAAAAAGTAAAATAGCCAAGCGAATTTTGTTGTTGTTGTTGTTGTTGATGAAAATATTCAGTTTCGGTTGACATGTCGGGGCGGTTCGATGATGTCCTAAAGTTGGGATTGGTAGTTAATGACTTCTTGTCGGCCTATTTACAAGTCAATAAAGTAATAATTTGAACAATAAGAGTGGTTGTCGTTGCCCCAGTAGTTAGGGGAATCGTAAGTCCACGTCTGAGTAGAAAAAACAATCACTCAATGGAGATGTAGGTGCATCCATTATGAAATGTGCATTATAGATTCACCTGCTACTAACCAAAGTCAACCAAATAAAATTTAAGCTATATTTATAAAATTGAATGATTGTAGTGAATATTTATGCAGGATAACAGCTAGTGGATTCACACATTTTATCATGAAGGATAATGGTTACTATCTGACTTAGCAGTCTTGAATAACTGGAGTCCGTTGGTTAAAAGTTGGTACTTTAACCGAATGTGAAATGTAATTTATTTCTAATGGTTATTTAATGCTCTGGTGTGCATTATTTACTCTCGCGTTATTATAATTTAAGCCGAAAAGGGTAACTAAGTATTTGAAATACAATTTCAACAACGAGTACTATGATGTAAGACACAAGTAGGACTTTTGTTATTATCTTGTCCCTTTTTTCTATGCATCATAACTGACTGATTGACTTTTTTGTTACCTGGGAATATATGAATGAATGTTTAACCTGTTCAACATCACCACCACCACCAACAAAAAAAAACAAGAACTGCTTCAAAATACACTTTGTGATCCTTTGTCATGTGATCGATATTGGGTGCTACCAGATTCCCATGTAAGTTGTATTACTATTAATGAGTACTACTAATAAAATTAAATAAGCTGATAGTAGTTTCCTAATGATGCTTTTGTTCGTCCGTGATTCAGTGATAGAATGCTTACCATCTACCACACAGGTGGTCCGGGGTTCTATCCCTCGGTATAGAGGGTAGGTTAGTTGTGAGACTAACAACCTCTACGGGTGTGTTGTAACAGGTGGAATGAATTATACTAAAATCCTGTTGTAGATGTAACAGTGAGAAATAAGACTTGAGAAGACATGAAAATTTGATGATTTGAATCAAGTAAAACATTAATGTCATTTTCAGAGATTAGAAAATAAAAAGACTGAGCTTATGTCGAAAGAGTCTAGTATTCTGACCAAAAACGTTTCATTAGGACTTAAAGACATCCATCTATTCTACAGACACTAATGTGAGTAGGAGATTGATATTCTTATTACCACTTTTGTATATATTTTGATTTTGTTAAATTACTATATAACCCATTCAGAAAAAACAACAGATTGAGCGAAGAAGTATATTCCTTTCTGATTAGTTCCTCATCATCGACGGTGGCACAGTGGTTAGGATTCTTGCCGACCATGTACGTGGTCCGGGGTTCGATCTCCTACCGACACACACCTGATATCAATGGTCAGTCTGCAAAATTTGGGCTACCGATATCACATGCTGAAAATTCCATATTTCCAAAAAAGTACTGTGTGGAATCAAGCTGTAATCAAAAATAAAATAAATAAATAATAATTTCTTACATCGAAATTTGTTTCACCAACCAAGTGGTTATTTTAATTACGTAGTTTTAGATGTGGGAGCTGAGGATAAAGTCTTCAAAACAACTGACTAACAGATGTTAGTAACAAGATATCTACGTTTTGAAGGAGAGGCAAAAATTAATCAAATAATTATGGAATTCAAGAGGAGTTAATTAATAGGCTTTGGCAACAAGTTAGATATAAAGACAAACTGCCCTGTTTCGCCTCCTTCGTGTGTACCTACGAGTTTAACCGCTCGTGCGGAGCTAGTTGCATTGGACGTACGACCAGGCAAGTTCATCGTCAAATTTCTAAACACCTCCCATCTTGACTTTGCAAAGGTCCAAATGAAGCAGCTATACGCTGGTCAATACTAACTCATGTTGTCGATACTGGACATCAAGTCGGCCCTAACAAAGCTTTTAAAGTTATTTATCGTATATCACCCAACCTCTCGCATGGTCTACGAGTACGACTTTTACATACAACAGAGGGAATTAGAAGTCATCTGAACAAGCCAAATCTTGTACAGCTCCTTTCTTTGCCATGACCAACTACATAATATGTAACAAGTTCCTGAAAAAAACGATTTTTCCCCTCCCCTTATAACTATCTTTTGACTTTGTTAATTCTTAACATTCTAACTAACTCGTTTGTATTTTACGTAATTCCTCTAAATCATCATCCTATTTTTCTTAGTCATCATTGTTACTTTTCAAATTTGTTGATTATGTAACAACTTGTTGTTAAGGCCTGAGAATTAACTCCTCTTGAATTCCATAATGAATTAATTTTTGCCCCTGCTTCAAAATTAACATATCTTGTTGCCAATATCTATTGACCAATTGTTTTGATGATTTTTAAACTCTTAATTCCACCTTCACTGCCCTATACGTAGGAATAATTAACTAAAATAGCCACTTGATTGGTAAAACGAATTTTGATGTAAGACACTACATATTATTGTAGAGCCAGCCAGCCGATGATGAGGAACTAATTAAAGAGGAATGCATATTTTTTCGCTCGATCTCTTGTTTTGATTGTAACTTCAGTGTAATTCCAAGTCTTTTTATATAGATGAGTCCGATGCCGTCAGCCCACCGGATTCATTTCCACTTCTTATTTTTCTTTAAGGTGAAAACGTCTACATTGCAAAAGTTTCTGACTGCGTTTATCCTAACAGTTGGTCTATTCACCTATTACTCTGTAATATTTATGCGATTGAGGTAAGACTAATGGTATTTAAATTGTCATTTTTGATTAAAAATAATACATTTTTATCATACACTGTGACACACAGACTTAATCTTTAGTCAGAACAATTTCTTTCTTAAAATTTTGAGATTCACACTGTTAGCCATACAGTATTTAGATGTTCTACATAAGTGAGTGTGGAGCTGTCGCTTGATTGTTGGTCTAGACACTTGACTTCCACTCATTGCTTAACGGGTTTGAACTTTTCTCCAACCAGTTAGAATCACTAGGCCTTCATACAATAGATAAAGCTCACTGCCAGCAGTACGGCAATAAGGATGGTTGTTGAATAACATCTCATTCTATCTCATATAATTCAGTCTTATAAAGATGATAGAGGAGAAACGTAAAGTGAATAACACGTACTGGCAGAGTTATAAACCATGTCATATTAATCACATATGCTGAATTCCCTGAGTTTCCGTAATAGGGTATACATTGTCTACCTAAAAGAATGGAGCGTAAATTCGTTACCACCGGGTGATGACAGGAGGGTGACTGACTGGCTGGTTTCAACGTAGAACTTTGCGCAGATGTGCATCAGTTCCAGTTGCCACTCTCCCTCTATGTAGCAAACAAAGGAGGAAAAGACAGTAAAGAGAGATTCAAAAGAGAAAGAAATAATAAAGAAAAGTGTGAATGGGTCAAAAAGAATAGTAGTATGAAAGAACAATATAGTTTTATTGGATTTTGTAAATCACAAGAAGTGGATGCATCTGTGCCAGCCATCAAGAACGATTTTGATCTAGCCATATCACCGATTGTCTCCAGCCTCCATTGGTTTTTACCGTCCCGAGAATTCCAACCTGACAGTCAGGAATTCTACACCTCTCTCCCTACGCGGCTGGCTGGCCTAAACTAACTGTTGTAGATTTCATTGATTGATGAAGCCGTGGTTTGGTTTAACCACCTCCAGGTGTCTTCCAACCTGATCTATTCTAAGTCAGCTAGCATCGTCCGTCGTCGAGGAAGGCGATGGCTAGGCATGCACAATCCTACCATCTCTCTCAGTCGATGCAGCTGCTTCACAACCTTGTCGATTGATTCCCCCTCCTTAACTAACACTCACTGGACGTCTAACCTCAATGTTGCTCACCCTATCATACCACCACATCACACTGAAGATAGAATGCATACACCTATGATCAAAGACAGCTAACCGACCTTTTCGTATCTTCCACTTTCAATGGCCATTTCTCACTCACAGCCATAAAGGAGGATGGAGCGGACTGCTGAGCAGTACACACGCCCTTTGGTCGACAGCCGGTCAGATATCACATCTACTAAGTCAGAGATGAAGTAAGTTGACAGGCATATCTCATACGAGCCTTCTGTCTCCGTGATGAGATTCCGTCAGCTATCAACCCGTTGGGAGGGTGACCATAATTCTAAATGAGTTCAAACGAAGCACTAGTCTTTTGAAAGCTGAACAGTATGTACACAAGAGAATAGTCGAAATATATATAAGTATAAGAGCTAATGTGTAAATGAGACTTAGGATTATTGGTTGATTGAGGCATTCACTATCCAAACTCATATGTTGCAACGACAACTGTCAGTTTGTTAGTAATTTGTGATTGCAATGAATGAAGGAAATGAACAATGTTCAAAGAATAAAATACTATATAATTGAGATAAGGATAATAATAATACTTATAATACCACCCATTTATTAATATTTACTGACTCTACTAGTAACAAAATTATCGAATTTATTGCTAAAAGGACATTTGAATGAAATGTTCATTGTGCCACTGACTGGTAGCAATGTAAATAGTAATAATGATAGTTGCATTGCGAGTGGGAAATACAACTTGAAGTTGAATTAGCAGTGGTCTTGTTTTTACGCGCAGAGGTTGTTAGTTTCACAACTTATCTTCCCTCTTTACCGGATTTATTACCGGGAATCGAACCACATACCACTCGTGGATTTGATGATCATTTTACAAATGAATCAACGAAGCACAAATAAATAACTACTAAATTGAAACTCGTACATGAACTAATAATGTAATACATACAAGGTGTGAAGATATCACTGATAAGAATGAACAGTGAGAGTGATATATATAATAAAAAGCATAGCTTCAAATAACCCAAGTATTAAGTGATGAGAACAGTTTTTGTTAACTGTTGATTGACGTGTTTAAACACTTGACTTCTAACCAATTAGGTGTTGGTTTCGAAGTCTGCTTCACCTACTCAGGTATAAATGTCAATTACAGTACATATGAGAATTTCGCCCTGTGTAACTGAGTCGTATCGTTATTGTAATTACTTTATTAGTTACAGGATCTCATCATGAGCTGACTTTGGTTAGAGAGCCATTGGAAAACCTGGATGTACTGGACATCTGTTTCGTCCCAGCCTGGGACTCTTCGTCAGTACGCACCCACCGGAGTTCGAACCCGTACTGATGAAGAGTCCCAAACTGGGACGAAACAGATGTCCAGTACATCCAGGTTTTCCAATGGTTCTCTAACCAATGTCAGCTCATGATGAAACCCTGTAACTGACCGATCGAATCCCTACAAACCAACACTTGAATTACTTTATTGTTAGCCAGGAATTGTGAATATACCTCTTTTCAGTCAATTCCAATACGAATGCATCCGTAAAAGTTCACTTGCTTTATATGACTTCTGTTATATCAGATTTGGTTCTATATTAGCGTAGTTGTTTATTTTCTCGTCCCCTAATTACTGTTTATCTTGAACAATGTGAATAACTGTGATAGTTATTATTTTGTTTTTTTCCTGTTGACATTGACTGAACAAAAATATCCAGCCTCTGGCTCCTAGTACATGCGCTTCGATAATGTTTAATGGATGGTGAATAGCAGTGGAATCCAGGACACGCGCATTTCGTCCTATTCGGGGATCGTCTTCTGGATGGACTTGCAATCCCACTGAGAGTCGAACCCAGCACCCTCCGTTTCAAACGCCAAATGTGCATCTACCACTCCACCGCTAGTCACTATCCACTACATAAAACCCTAGTAGTTATTTAGTAGTTCTGAAACCGAAGACACTGTAGGCCCTAAGTGAAATAATTCAGTAAGATCACTGTGCATTGGCTGAACGTTGTCTGATCATTCTACTACATGGTGAGACAAGGATTTTAAAGATAAGCGGTATTAGCGCTAACAGATACCTGGACAAATCTCTCTGGCTGTCCCCTGAAACACTTCATCAGAAAGTACCCAGTTATCAAATTTGTGAAGATTTAAATGGACGTTGAAATTACTTGTCGTTCCCACTTTTCCCTTTGCAGCTTGTCATTCTGTCGCCTACGTGTTTCCAGTCTATCTATTCCTCATCGAAGAAGAACAATAGCAAGAAGTGATTGAAACACGGAGAGAAAAAGATCTGTTGTACGTAAAACTGTGTACTGTGTTCACTTCTTATCATATAAATATATATGATTTTATTTTCCTATCTTTTCTTGTTCGGGGGGGGGGTGGTTGATTCCCGACTGACGTGCTTTTAAACTTCGCTTACTTTGCCAGGTGATAGTTAGGCGTCAGACCAGCAAAACTGTAGCTAGTGAAACTTCAATGTTTAGAGCCCTGTGATCTGTCCAGAACGCGAAAAACCAACTATCTTTTCGTTTTATCCACTTTACGATTCCTAATAATAATAATAATCAACATGCACTCTTAATACGATGACAGGGATATTAACATAGTATTATGATATCATTTTCCTTCTTTTGTCTAATTGCTTACAATTTAAAAATTGATAGGTGTTGTACATACTTCAGACTACTCTTGTCCAGGAAAGGTATATTATCAACCACGAATGCTTAAAACGGTTGTCTATGGGCATTATATGAAAAAAATATTGCAAGGGTGAAACGATAGCAAGTTGATGACTGTCTGGTTTCAACGTAAGACTGCACAAATGTGCAGCACTTCCAGTTGCCACTTCTCTCTCCACTCAGCAAACAAAGCAAGAGGATATAGTAAAGAGAGATAATAAACAGAAATATAAGCCAAAAAGAATAATAGTATGGAAGAACAACATAGTTTAATTGGATATTATAAATCACAAGGAGTGGATGCATCTGTGCCAGCCATTTTGATCTAGCCATATCATCAGTTGTCTCCAGCCATTGGATTTAACCCTCCTGAAGACAACCCAACCAGCTGGTGAAGAAGTCAACACCTCCCTACGTGGCTGGCTGAAACTAACTGTTGTGGATTTCATTGATTGATGAAACTATGTTTGAGTTTGACCACCATTAGTTCTTTTCCAATCCGATCCTTTGTTAGTTACCCGGTTGAGGAAGGAGATGGCTAGGCATTCACAACACACTAATATAAGAACAGAACTTGTGCACTGTGGTAGCGTATAATTCTCTTACGGGTAAAATTTCTTTTGTTTAAGTCTCACAGTGTTATAAAGTAATATCAGTAAATATTACCATACAACACTGTGAGACTATCAAAATAAATTTTACCCATAATGGAATGCACAACAGATGTCCTAACCATCTCTCTCAATCGACGTAGCTGCTTCATCACGTCGTCGGTTGATTTCCCTTCCTTACATAGGACTCACTGGACGCCTAACCTCAATATTGCTCACCCTATTATACCATCACATCACACGAGAGATAGAACGCAGACACATGTGATCAAAGACAGACAGCTAGCCTTTTCATGTCTCCGACGCTTAGTGGCCATGTCTCTTAGCCGTAACGGAGTGGACTGCTGTGCAGTGAAACGAGCCTTCTGTATCCATGGTGAGATTTCGTCAGAGATCAACCCGTTGGGGGATCAAGCAGCTTGCCAAATAAGTGAAATGGTCAACACGCCCTACCATTTCACTTCCTATCTCTAAGCTAGGAGTCAATTTAGTCCAGTCCTGTAGCAATATCTTACATTTGACAGGAGCAAATCGCAAAAACAATTTATGATTACTCATAACCTACCTTGGTCAATTCTTCTTTATTTATAACATTAGCAAATATTATATTATTTTTATTTATTTAGTCCCTTTACGTTTCGAGTGCAGCGTAGGGCTTCATGCGACAGCTTTGAAGTTTCGGAAGCAGTGGTGTTTATTTTTACAGGGGAGGGTTACCAGCCGCATACCTAACTTTTCCTCCACCTTATGGTTTTACTATCGGCTTAGGAATGTGTCGGTCGGAGATCGAAACTGGGATCACATGCACATGGTTGTCTGTCTGTTTTCGACATAGAACTTTGCACAAATGTGCGGAAGTTCAAGTCGCCACATTCCGTGTAGCACGCGAAGCAAGAGAAGAAAGTACAAGAAAAGCATAATAGAAACAGTGAGCAGGTGTGAGACAAAGGAGTAATAAAGAAATACAAAACAGTTTCATTGAAGATCATAAGTCACAGGGAGTGGATGCATCTGCGCCACTGAGAACGGTTTTGAGCCATGTCACCAATTGTTTCCAACCATAGATTTTTACCGTCCCGAGGACCCCAGCCTGGAAGTCTACACCTTTCTACGTGGCTTAGACCAACTGCACATGGTTGACGGACAAGCGTTCTACTACCACTTAAACACCGACGCATTACCAAATTATAGTGTTAATTATTCGTATTCTTAAATCCTTCATCGCACTTAGTTTATTTTAATTGACCTCTTAGTTTTCAAAGACATCGATTCGACACGTAAATGTGTGTGATTAGATTGTTCGAGATGTATTGCGCAAATACATCACATTTTTTTCGGACGAACTCCATCTTCCCTAATAAAGCAATTTAAATTCATACTAGCGCTTATTCAGACTGCACTAGGATTTTGATTGTCTTTTCAAAATACTATCAAAGGTGATAGAACACGGAGTAAAGAAAAAGGTCGAGCGTAAATAGATTGGCATTGCTGGGATTGGCGTTGACTTAATTAAATTCATCCATTAGTTTCTCTTGTCTCACATGCCTCCAGTTGAACAGGCTTATAAGATCGAAACTAACAGTCAGTCCTGGATGTCATGTTTTGATTTGAACGAAATTTCTCTTTCATTACGATTTACGTGTCACCAACTACCAACTGAATACTTACCACAATAGCCTGAAACTCAACTGGATTGTCTATGCAGCATTAGACCCAGTAAACACGCTTATAAACAAGTGAAGCCGTACTTTTTGCCTACTACTATCCATGTTTTACAGACAAAAGCGAGTAGTACACAGTTGAACGTCTCATCTTCAATGCGCAGTTTTGTCTAACTTCTCTCGTTCTTACCTTGATATTTGGAACTAAAATTATACAAGTTTCCGAAATAAGCCCCCTTAATTTCGCCTGAAGAAAGTAGTAGTCTCATGATTTAATTTGCATAATTCACACTGTGATTGAAAAAATTCGAAATTTAAAATTGATTAGTTATAGAACAAGTTATTATACGACCTTAAAGAATAGTTTAGTACATAAGAAATTACATATAAATAGGTTTCACATGTGTTTACGTTGTTTAGTATTCACAGTGAAAGTAATTGGCGAACAACCCAGTTTGTCGATACCAAACATTGATCAGTGTTGATCTAAAATAGTCATTAAAAACTGCGGCAATAAATTAGATGGTTAGGAGTGAAAGTTTTTCAAATGAAGAATAAGCTTTTTACACCAGCAGTTGGGTGGTTGTTATTCTTCTACAATAAAACGAATTCTATGAGTTGAAGTATAAGCGAAAAATCGATTCCCTTGTATACAAAAGAAATTTGAATTTTTTTTACATCTGTGTATAAGCGCTTGTGTGAATGTTTAAAAATCTGCAAATTCAGTATAAACACAAGGTGTAAGCAGTAATGTATTATAAATCAAACTGACAAAAAAGGGAGCAAATACAGTTTCTGAAAAGATACTTAATCAACTGTTGGCGCGGCAAGTTCACTTTTTGCTGATGCCGGTGTACTCTTGTCTCGATTGTTGCTCTTCTGTTTACTACTCTCAGCTGTTGATGCTTGTTTACGACCACCACTTTTCTGTTGTTTACCTGTCTGTAGCTTTGCTTCTGCTGCGCGCTTAGCAGCAGCTAAACGTTGTGCTTCACGGGCTGAAATCATAAACAAAATATTGTGTACACAGTCAGAGCATCATATCAAAATGAGGAATTCAATATGAGCGCCTTAATTCAATCAACTGCCAGCTACATGCCATGCGAGTATCTTTTAGAACACTGGAGGATGAAATTTGTATTCACTGAAGAACAAAAAATACACCTTCTTAAGTGACCGAATCTCTGAGTTAGTAATGCTGTCTCCAGCAACAATATGCTCATCGATGACAATAATCACAATGAGGCTTTATTTACATATTTAGTCATCTAGTTTAATACATTGTGCCAAACCCAACACACACCTTTTCCACATTACATGAATTATCTTTAACATGAGCCCAGTGGAAACTAATCAACAGACTAGTAGTTTTTGCAATTAATAATGTTCTCTGAGCTGGTTGGTTTAGTTGCGGAGCTTTCATCGTCTTTCTGGACGACATCTTCAGCGCAGTATTTAGGATAAAGTAGTTTATCTTTTGTGGAAATAAGGCACAATTGACGGCTTCAAAATATTCAATATATAGATATTGTACAAGTGGACACTGTTGTCCTAACTGTCTTCTGACAATAGGATGCAGTTTTTGCATAACACTTTCTGTCTTCATCACTTATACTTGAAAGTTACTCACAACATAACTCCTGTTGTGTGTTATGCAGTTTGTATTTCGTTTTGATTCACATTATTCGTTAGTGCCTTTAAACTTTTTTCAAAATCGGTTTTCATGCGAAAGCACGGCGGCCTGCTTAAAATTTGAGCTCCCAAAAACAACCTGTGTCACTGGAATATGGTATGGAGGTTTTCGTGTTCACCTTATTTCAATCTTTTAAAATATGACAGCTACACTTGCCTGTATTTAAATTGTCTACTAGACATGGAAAAAAGCATGAAGTAACTGTTCCTGAGCTATGTTCTTGGATCTCAAAATGTACCCCAAAACTTTTTCCGATTATCTTTCAAACAAATGTCGTGCATTTCTCAAGGCAGACAAAGAAGGAATTTCATAGAGGATTGGTTTTCGATTCGGGTCAGATAGAATTGAGTCACACGACCCATTATTATTAATTAATACTTTATTTGAAGATGATCCCGGCTGAAGATAAAATAGCATACGATAAACTCTGATGAAAAATTCTGTATATTATATAGACACTTTACAAAATAAAGCTATTATTATTATTATTACTAAAAGCATTTTCTAACGTTTTTTGCAATCAACCTTCAGGGATTTACCAGAGAGTCACACAATTTGTGATATTACATAACTTCCCAGTCATCGTTTGATATCTAATTAGCAGCTGTGTGTGTGTGTGTGTGACCTAATTGGAAACTATGATAAACCTACTTTCGACACACACACACACACCTTAAAGTCTATATGCCTTTTTCAGTCTTTTAATGATTACTATGTACAGGTAAGATAAGAATATATACATGAATAAATAATGACAATAATAATAATAGTAGAGAAGATATATGAGTTTACCTTGCCTTTCCTGTTCAAGTTTTTGAGCAGCTAATTCACGTTCTTTCCTGACCAATTGAAGACGTGCCAAGTTAATGGCCAATTCACTTTCTGACTGTAACTTTAACGGGTCTACAACAGCTTTAGATGAAGCTATCAATTCTTTCTTTGAAGGCCTGATCAACAATCAGGAGTAATTAGAAGAGAGTATTGACAATAAACCAATAGATAAATTAAACAAATGGTATCATGCTAGTAGAGATTTTACTTTCGATACTAAAAAGGCACACGATTTAATATCACTACTTTGTCATAATCTTGCACAAAGATACAAATACTTCATTTCACTTCTGAAAACACCACCAAACTGGACGATATTCACAATGGAGATTTCTTGACCAAACTCTTAGGAATCAGCTTAATATCATAATTTCTTCAGAACATAATTATATAGAAAGCGAACAATTGTGGTTTCAATAAACTCTTCTTCAGGCTCTACAATTATAAATCCATTAATTCAAGCATACAATAGCCAGCCAGCCAGTAAAAGCAAATTAGAATCATATCAGACAGTGGAATGTGTATTAGGTGTAAGATGGGATGGAACAATAGACAGTTAGTTTTTGAATATGCACGGTCAGTGAGAACACATGAGATAAAATAATATGAAATAATTTAATGATGTGTGTACACGCATGTACAAACATAGTCAACAAAAGTACGGGTTTGGAGGGTGAGACAATATGAATACTACAGAAAATAAACCAACGATACCTAGAGATAGGGTAACGATGGATAACGTAGATAAAAAACCTTTGCATCTTATTTCCAGTTACAAAAAGGAGATTGCAACTGACATCTTAAAATGTCGACTTAACAGAGTAGTAAAGGAAACATTTCCTGCAGCTAAACTGGTATTCAACTTCTCAACCAAACCGGTACTCACACAACGAGTCAAGGATATATTACCAAAGATGGCCTCGTCAATGTGTATGTATGAATTCAGCTACTAATGGGGAGCTAGGTACACTGGCCATACTCAGAGGGCTTTATCCATACTTCCACGTAAATGCGACCTGTATGGCGGCTGAGTAAAGAGGTAACGAAATGTGTAAATAGTGCAGTCTTAACCCACTTGGTAGATACCGGACACTTGATAAAACTTGGCCAGGCGTTCTCAGTTACTTACCGCCTTCCTGATAATCTGCCTGGGGGAGCTCGACTACGTCTTCTATCAGTAGCTGTAGCGGTAGCAATCAATACCAGAAGACCAGGTTTTTGTATACAGAGGAATTTATGTCCAACCGCTATGTTTATCTTGGTCTGAAAATCCTCCATAAACACTAGTACTTTAAATCCCTTCTTTTCTTTTGTTTCATTGACAAACGTTTCATTTTCGACCGTTTACGACTTCGTGACCTTTCTTATGACTTCTGTTACCTTAGATTTAAGTAATTAATGCTTTCCCTAATTTGTTATCGTATTTGCAACATCCTGTTCATTCTACTTCACTAAATTCATTGTTGTTCTTTTTATTTGATTATCATTCACCAATAGTACTTTTAAGTTTACACCACATTATCGTTATTATTTTACAATCACTATTATTGTCGTTATTTTCAACCTTGAACTGAAGTTTAGCCTATCACATTTGTTGGTTTATTTTCCGTGGTATTCATATTGTCTCACACACCATTGATTACACTCACCTTCAAAACCTGTACTTTTGTTGACTATGTTTGTACATGCGTGTACACACATCATTAAATTATTTCATATTATTTTATCTCATGTGTTCTCACTGACCGTGCATATTCAAAAACTAACTGTCTATTGTTCCATCCCATCTTACACCTAATACACATTCCACTGTCTGATATGATTCTAATTTGCTTTTACTGGCTGGCTGGCTATTGTATGCTTGAATTAATGGATTTATAATTGTAGAGCCTGAAGAAGAGTTTATTGAAACCACAATTGTTCGCTTTCTATACAATTTTGTTCTAATATGATTCCATTAGATAGCTTCGTTTCTCTCTCTCTCTCTCACTATATATATGCAACATTAAAGTTGTTTAAATAACATAGAATCAACAATAATATCAATGGATTACAGTTCAGTACTATCGACATGACAATACACTGAATATGAGATAGAAAAATAATAATGCAAATTCATGAATTTATTGTCTCTACTAAAGGCTAGGGTGGTAGTATTACCTGGACAATGTCTACAATGTTTATTCCACGAGAATACATGAAATCACTTATTCTTGAATTAGCGTACTTTAATACTTTGGAGATTGTCAACTGTGAAAGTATCTCGAAACTACTTCAACACTTCACGGTACCCCAAACCTTTATCAACCTCTTTCAACAGATATATGGTGATTTCAGATGCCAAGTGATTCACAGTAAAATGCTCAGAAAAGTCTTAGTACTACTTAAAGTGAAGAAAACAGCATGAGACAAAGTTGCCAACTATTACCAGTGATCACGCGACAGACTGTGGAGAGTGACAAGATAGACATGCTTTGAACCGTCAAGAACACTCCGAAAAAATGAAAACTTTGCGGTTGATCTATGTGTAGTGTCACACAAACTTGAAGATATACAAGCAAAACAGACAAAGTGACAGAACTTCACAGGACTTCAAGTGAACATAGAGAAGATACAGGTGGTGAAAATACCCAACCAACAACAATCACTAACGATGGCGGAAATCTCTTCCACTTATCTAGTCAATATTGTGTCAACCACAGGTGACACATATGAGAATGACAAAACCAGGATGAAAAAGGCAAGGCAGATCTTGACCATCCTGAAATCGACATGGAAATCTGCTGCGCTCTGTGTAGAGGGCATAATTCGGATTTTCAAGACCAACGTGAAGTCGGTTGTTATATGGGGGTCGGTAGTTTAGTGTGTCACGTAAAGCATTTCCAACAGGCTGCAGACAGACTTTTGTTAACAGCTATCTTGACTCCACATTGAAGGTCAGATCACCAATGAGAAAGCATAAGCGATAAAGAACTCTGGCAGCGAAACAACCAGGAGCCAATTGGCTAACAAGTATGCAGAGTAAAATTAAAGACTGAACGTACGCTGAGGAGATCGTTGAGTGATATCATGCACCACACTGTCGAGTGGAACCGATATGAGAAATGACGAGTTGGACATCTCACTAAGAGGCTGACACATGAAGGAGGCGACAGTATGTACAGGAGATGAAAGCTTATGGGCAAACGTGTTGCGAATTAATTTAGACTAAGGAGAACAGGGTGGGATGGAGATGTTCCACTCGGAATCCAAGGGAATGATATAATCCGGTCAAGAACATGACCAGATTCGTCTATCTATGATAGGTGGAAATAAATTCAAATAATCTAGAATCTCATTATCTTTAAAAAAGCTGTGTAACGTTAGCATTATCATCAAACCTGATGTTTGTTATCGACTTCCTGAAAGAGTCATTTTTGATGACTTGAATGTTGATCTATCGATCTTGAGGCTATCAGCCTACTGGCCTCTAAATTATCGTTAAACATACTGTAGACTGATAATCGTTGAATTTCTTTCTATTGGACCTAACTTTGATTCGTTGGACATAACTTCTCCTTGAAAACATCTGCTAAAAGCAGGTGTCACTGGATAGTTTTATTAGCAATCTAAAAAGCCCTACTCAACAGTACCTCAAGCAGACTGCGACCATGCAAACTACCGGTGACCACTATTATTAAGCGACCAGTAGGGTTACATAGATGTGTTCCACCTCATTAACCCCCTTCATCTTTGTCATCGACAGCATTCTGGAAACAGTTTCGGAGGATGTATGACATGATGTATGTGTGCCAGCTGAAAAAAATATTATTCGGTTTTGAACATGCAGATAATCTCGTCTTACTAAACTATGACATGCAGGCTGCTTAAATCGCATTTGGTGATTAGTGCCCTTAATTATGATGTATGCTTTGTGTTGTCCAAGTGCAAACTGCTTTTGCAGGATAGACAGGATCACATTATGATGGGAATCAACAGAAACAGTCGAACAGTGTGTGTGTGTGTGCCTTAATGGCAATTTTAAGTGCATATGAAACTAGCAACATTGGTTCGTACACTACACTACCACATAGATGCCTATAATACTTTATAAAGCTCTGCACTATTCATCATAGTCTTTCTGGCTTATGGCTTATAAGTTAAAAAATACACCTAAAATGCATGCCTATTAAAAATTTATTTGAGGACTGAAACAAATTCCATACTTGTACCAAAAATACAGTGTGGAATCAAGCTGTAAATCTAAAAAAAATTTATAATTACCGATGAATACACTGAAAATACTGACCAACTGATTTGCAACATAGGACTCTACACAGACGTGCGGCAATTCAAGTTGCTACACTCCATACAGCATACAAAGATAAAAATAAACAGATTCAAAACAATTACAATGAGTTGAAATGTACTGCACAAAGAATAGTAAAATAGAAGAACATGGGGATTTAATAGATCTGAGAGACTACAAAGAGTGGATGTATATACACCGTCCAGAATAATTTTGAGCCATTTCACTACTAATCTTCAGCCAGTGATTTTGGCATCTCGATGACTTTAACCAGACAGTCTATGCCTATCTATGTGGGAGGCTGAAAGCAATTATCACAGACTTAATGGATGGATAGTGCGTCGGTGACACAGTGGTTAGGAGGCTCGCCGACCATGCACATGATTCGGGGTCCGATCCCCCGCCGACGCATTCCAGCTTGAAGCCCTATATTCCACTGGGAACGTGAAGGATTACATTAAAAATAACGGATTTATGTCAGGTTTTGGTTTGACCACTTTAATTCTTTTTTAACCCAAACTGATGTCTGTTAACACTGCACGTCGAGGAAAGCGATGACTCGGTAGGCAAAACACATGCTCTAATGGTCTCAATAGATACAGCTTCACAAGCTTATTCACCGAGCTACCCTCCCTATCTCCCAATCTATAGCTAACCTCATTATTAACTGACTACGTTATGCTACTTAGGACGAGAGATAGAATGCGGACACCTGTGTCAAAGATAGATATCCTCTTCAAGTCTTCCACTAGCAACGGCCACGTCTCACAACTAGATGGCACACAAATCGTTTGTATACGTGCTGAGATTTTGTCAGCAATCAGTTCATTAACGCTGAAACACTACTTCTCAAATCAGTGAAGTGGTCAACACCCTCAACAATCTTACTCCCTCTACATATTCAAGCTAGGAGTCAGTGTAGTTCACTGCTTCAGCTCATCTTACATTTGACAAGGGTGAAAAGCATACAGTTGAACTTTACGCTGTAAACTGCTCCCTTTAAGTTTATTAATTTAGAAGATACAATGAAAATAACATTAATAAGGACAATCGATTGTCATAATATTTGAAGCAATTAAGTTCCTATTATGAATTTCGACAACACAATAAGAAGACGTAGTTTATCTGAAATGTGTAATGCATTTGTGCAACACATTTCGCACATTCTGATCACACACACGTACTTGTCATATACAGAAGGCAAGGTAACATGAATTATTACGATACAGGTCAAACTGTGTACCCACACCCTTGCGTCATCTCCCTACACATTTTTGTGACCTAGACCCGTACACAATTCGACCTGTATAGTAATACATAGCAGTGCATGACAAGTAAGTGTGTGTGAGATGAATTTCCGAAATGTGTTGCGCAAATACATAACACGCTTCAGATAAACTATGTCTTCCTACTGTGTTGTCGAATGATTATAAGATTAATAACGTAGACATAAAGTGTACCAAATTATGGTGAGCCCATATAACTAAAAACCTATGGGAATATTGTCTAACTATGAAACAAGTAACTTACACAACTGAATTAGAACCTTTGATATGATTTGGATTACAAACTTCTATTAGATGGCTAACACCTTTATGACGTCCAGTTACGTTTTCGTCTTCGCTATCACTATCATCATCTTCGTCATTATCGCCGCTCACATTATCACCAACATTACCGTCTTCTGATTCCTTCAAAGAGGAGCCACCTTCTGTAATATTATCTCCTCTGATTAGCTGATAAATATTATGAAACACCGAAAGATAATATCATGAATATAGAAGAAACAAATGCATAGTAATAATGATTAGCCAAAGAACATGATACATTCGTCTGTTAATACCAATTTCGACCTGGTAATATTGATGGACCGGTCAATTCTTACCTCATATCTAGAAGAAACATAATCAAATGAGATTTTCAGTGTTTCATTAATTTTTTTTACCACTTGCACAACTGGTAGAAGATAGTAGGCAGTATGGAAGCCCCTGCACTGACAATTAAAATACATGCTCAAGCTCCTGAGGTCGGAGTTCTAAAAAGTTATCACCTATCAAAAAAGCTCTCCGCTTTCTTCAAAACTCTCTGACAGTAGTACCACTATGAAAACCTGGTGGATCTATGTTGCTGCTCGTTATGTTTTGTGTCTCAACAGATGCTGGGGGATTTTGAGAGCCATGAGTAAATGGAGCGACTGGGAGCAAGTGGTAAGCAAATCTAAATCGAAGGATCACTTGCTTTATGTCCATAGCTGTGGGTAGTAACAATCGGAGATGTGTAAGAAGATCTCTGGAAGTTTATTTACAACTCCCGTACATGGATTTTGTATTTGACGGTTAAGCACTTGTTCTGTTACGCCAATGATGCTGGCCAACAGAAGGACGTACAACGCGTGTTCGCCCATACTCTCTGCAGCCATAGTAGTTAACGTAAGATCTAGTTCAGTGTGATATTTGGCTGCAGTAACAGGCGCAATCATTTTATTTGTATCAACCTGTTAAGGATGAGGTTTATGATGGAAAAAAATTTGACATACACACTGACTTATGATTCGAATCCCCACCAGTGCTCGGGTAAGAGTGCCAGCTTTGTATGAATTCACACCATCAATTCTTTTTATATTTCTTTTACGTTCCCAGTGGAACATAGAGCTTCAAGCTGGAGGCTTGAAGTTTCGATAGCAGTGGTATTTATTTTTACGGGATGGGGTTGCTAGCCTCAAACCTAACCTTCCCTCTTTACCAGTCTTATTACTAGCTTCAAGAGGTGGAGTGCGTCGGCCGGGGATCGAACCCCAGACCACATACGTGGCTGGTGAGCATTCTACCGCTGTGCCACAGAAGCAATACCACCAATAACTGATAGAAATATGATCTGAATTTAAAATTGAGTAGCAAAGGGAAGACGCCAGATGGCACCTTAGCGATGGCTGCACCCGTTAGAAATAGATTGCGATAACCGTCGATGCTTTTTCAGAATCCTTGACCGACTACAGTTTATACGAAATAAAGAATGAATGAGTTAAATCAAAAGCTGTCCAGTTTGCTGGTTGAAGTAAAACGCTCAGATAGTCGTCCTAGTCGATGACTTTAATGTTCAAGCAAGGAAGCCAAGTCAGTCGGGGAAGAATATTGTCGACACTTGTGCAGTCGCAAGCTGATCCAATGGTGATCGTCTCCTACGGCATTATTCAGAAAATCATCTGTTGCTGGGCAACACCAAGTGCAAACATAAGGAGAGAAGTTGCCTGGCCTGGCTATCTCCATCATCAAACTAACAGTGGGTTCAAATAGATCACATAGCTATAAGCCATCGATGGAGAGGGTCAGTAGAAGACCACTGCTCATTCTGGAACACATGCACAGACTCCGATCACCGTCTAGTTTGTGCGTGTATACACCTACGATTAAACTACGCCTCTAACTTGCTGAGAACACCAAGTCCTTATTCAAGAATGTGGTTTGATGCTTATCTGAGAGCGACGAAGGGACTCATGCCGAGGAAGCCTGGTACAATATCATTCTACTTGTAGAAACAGGGCAAAGACTGCCAGTAACCTAGAGGGGAAGCTTAATAAATTTCAGTGGATTTTTGCCACACGCAGGAGTAATGATTTCGGCGGGTTTCGCACACGATGACGAGTGAAAGCTGCTCAAACGCGAGCTGAGCGAAAGTCTGCTCAAAGACCGTGGACAGCGGTGGGCGACAAAACCTGAAGAGGTGAAAAAGATATCGGTGATAGATAACACCAGTTAATTATTTAGATGCATTGGGGAAACGGGTTGTGAAAGAATTGTGATAAGCGATATGAATTCCAAGAAGAACAGTAACTTAATAAACTCTCAGGAATATTTCAAGGACATGTTCACGTACAAACGAAGAATAAAATATCTGACTATGATTGGGAGTGTCAGATGTGTGGGAAACGGTTTTATACAGAAAAATCATTCGATTCACATATTGGTAATAGGCATAAAATAAATGCTTATAGTCAAAGTCGAACTATTTGCTTAGCTTCATATTGTCCACTACTCCGCTGTTCTGTGTTGAAACCAGATTTCGCCTATGGAAATCAAATGTTCTGGGATGAAGCACTTTGCGAAACAGGATCATTTAGTGATATTTCAAAGCAGTGTGAGGTGAGCATTTCCACTCTTTATTTATTTACTTATTTATTTTAATGATGATAAATAATCTAGTTCCCTTTGCCTCATACGATCTGTATTGAGTACTCAACCAACACAACTCAGTAAACAAGTGCAGGTTTGATTCCTGGCTTGGTAGACAACACTCATACAGAGTGGACCATAACTCAATGAAAGTCGGGCTATTGAAGGTAAACTGATTTAATCATGTAATTATGGGCCCAAGTGTTACGATGCATCGCCACCTCCCTACGTTTATCAGAGGAGATTCTGTGTACTGTCACATGTGAGAATACAAGAAACTATCGTTCTAGCAACTAAGAGTATATATATATATATATATATATATATATATATATATATATATAAGTTCTATGTTGAATCCAGACAGACAGACAGACGATGTGCCGGGAAGGTTCCTTGAGCAGCGATTGCACTAAAAGCAGTCAAGATCATAGTGTGTTGTGCTTTCTGGGCGGAATCATACTGTTTGCGAATAGGGATGTAAGAGCGACAAGGTGTTTCCCTCAGGTGACCGGCAAGTCGGCGGTGCTACCACTTCCCTCTGGGAGGAGGCGGGGTTAGGATATGTCAACCCCGAAAATTGTACATCCTGACTTACCTTGTGTTAATATGCAGACAATCCCTGAAACCACTTCACACAGGTTTTGTGGGACACATCTGAAATAGTAATCCCCTGGGCTCTGCGGTCACGCAACACTGATATTCCTTCTGTTCCAAATACTCCAAGAAGAAATAAAATTCCACGGTGTGTCTCACCGACTGTAAATGAGGATAAAAAGGCTTTCCCGGAAAAACCATGCAGACTTTAGGTCAGAGAGAGGGTGTATTGATCATATCTTCCCGTTAGACAGATTCTGGAAAATAGTCATGCTTACCACTGTTTAACTCTTGCCATGTTTCTTGACAAGAAGACGGTATTTGAATGAGAGGCACTGTGGTAGTGTTTGTCTGTGGTGAGAGTGCCGATAAAGTATATTGCACCAGTCATGACACTATTCGGACTCACACAGCTGTGTCATAGCTTAGCTTAAGGAGAGTCGTCGTCATTCGAGGTTATGACAACCTTTAGTATCTTCCAGGGATGTCCAATGTCTCCACTTCTCTTCGATTTCATCATAGGTGCACCAATGGATGTGACATCGGTTAACTCTAGCGACTTAGGGATTGACTTGTCATCACCAGGGAACGTTTTCGTCGTCTTGGAGTATATGAACCATATTGTCTCTCTAGGTAGAGGTGTTCAAAAAAAACTACTGAGTCTTCTGAACACCCAAAGTAGAGGTCTTGGTATATATTCGATCTGCTCCTGTCAAATGTGAGATGATGCTGCAAGGCTGGTCTGCACCGACTCCTATCTTAAAGGTAGGAAGTGAAGTGAAGTGGTAGAGCATCTTGACTACTTCATTGAATTGGGGATTCGCATCAGTCCTAAGTGACTGATTGTTGGCGGGAATCTCAGCACGCTGTTCGTCAACTTTCATCATCTCTGACGTCAACGTGATATGCGTCTGGCTATAGATCAGATAACTTGTGTACTACTGCGCAGCAGATCGCTCTCTATTTCCTCATGGCTGGCTGAGACATGTCCATTGAAGGTGGGAGATATGGTAAGCCTGGTTGTCTTTGATTTGGACCACACATTTGAATCCTATCTCCTATGTTAAGTGTTATAACATGGTTAGTAATAATAAGGTTAGTTATAGAGTCACAGGTGAGGAAGGGTAGCCCATTGATGAGGTTGTGAAACTATATTTGTCGAAGTGGCTAGGACAAATGTTACACACACCAAGTCGCTGACTTCCTCAACGAGAAATGTTAGCTGACTGACATAGGGTTAGGTTTGGGAGAGTTGCGTATAGTCAAATCAAAATCTCAATACAATCCATGAAGTCTTTCATATTTGGTTTGAGCCACACACGTGGGGAGGCGTAGACTGCTGGAATGGGTGTTTTGGGGTAGTAAGGCAGAGGACTATTGGTGACATGGCTCAAACTCATTCTCAGTGGCGTAGATGCATTTACTATTTAGTCTCCGATAGATCCATTATATCTTGGTTCTGCGTGTGAATATTTTCTCTCCCGTACGTTTCCGTTCAGTGTTATTTGTATTTTTTTTAAACTATATATGGTCTAGCAAATTGGACTGCTGCACTTCGTGTAATGTTCTGGGTTGAGAATTTAGTGATCGAAGTTGTGATCTACACTAATCTATTTTAAATCAACGCGTATGCGTAGCAAAGCATTCCACATTACTGCCGATGATTTCCTATTGTTCGACTTGTATCGATTTGCGGATATTGTACACGACAAGAGTGAGACGGATATGTGGCGTCAAAAGAGTTATGATGGATAACACACCGATATACAGTTGGCTGAGGGAAGCTGTTTAGAGGTTCCAAATAGTGCAGTTACATCACGTAATCTTAACAGTGATGGGTAGTTGACGAAAATAAAAACGTCAAGAAAATGTACGTAACATAGGAATGAAACAAAGCAGTCTGTATGTAACAATAACAATAGCAATGTAATGATGAAGTGAATGTTAAAATAAGTTGGTCACGCAATAGCAATGGTGATGAGTTATATAGGAAGTTGAAAATTATATTTACCTAATGTTTTGTAATTCATACACGAATTGTGAGAGCCTGCCGCGAAAAGACATTCAGATAGCTAACTACACTAGACATAATATAAGTTGGTGAATGGTTAAGTGTAATTTCATTAGCAACCGTCAAATCAACCCGGCTTATTACAACTTAAAAACTGACCAGAATAGTCAACAAGCTTATTCACTTTTCTCTCTTACGGCTGCATACAGACGGCCCCAATGTTCTAGGGCTACCCATCCCTTCGTAAAAGGAGTATACGACTACGTACAATAACAGGCTAAAATTACACTTGTAACTACATGATAGGGGGAACAAAGTAACAATTACGTAACACTTACACCTAGTTGACGATCGATTTCTTCTGGAGCTGTGAACTTTCGTGTTCTGCCTTTGTGAATCCGTTTACCTAGAGTTCAAAGAGAATAAAACAGGTTGCAAATTAAGACGGTACATTTGACTTTAAAGATGAAAATCAGAAGACCTTAATGACGTAGACACCGAGGATTAACCCGGCGTATTGCAAATAACCGATGCTTTATATTGGATAGAACAAATATTCCATATCATAAAAGTCGGCTACACAGAAGTAAGACAGCTACCGTCATAGTGCACGCTTCTTATAGTATGGTACTACACTTCCGACAAAAAGACGTTTCCTCTGAACAATCAATTATACTGTCTCCGGATGCTAGAGAAGGGATTAGAAATCTAAAATCCCGACTTATATTCTGGTAGTAAAGTTTAGTAAAGATAAAAACCTCAGAAACTATGCTACCTTTAAATGAGTCGTATGTGGTCAGTTTTAAAGATGTCACCTCAATTTCTGCAGTTTTGAGAAAATTATATATATATATATATCTTCTCCTCAGTCCTCTCCAACTGTCCCATAGACTCTCATTCCCACCCAACACGATCTCTTTCATGACACTCTCGGACGCCTAAATTGCAGTTATTTATTCGGATTCCAACCAAGGCTTTGTCTAACGTGCGATTTCACTAAACGGCCTCCTCAGAGTGTGTCCGATCCATCCTCACTTTCTCTAGGATATTTGTTGGACAGTAGGTTCTTGTTTGGCTTCTTCCCAGAGATTCTAGTTTCCAAATTTTCCCGGCGATTTGACTTTCACTATGGAGCCAAGACAGCCTGTTGGAAATGCTTTACGTGACACACTAAACTACCGACCCCCATATAACAACCGACTTCACGTTGGTCTTGAAAATCCGAATTGTGCCCTCTACGCGGAGCGCAGCAGATTTCCATGTCGATTTCAGGATGGTCAAGATCTGCCTTGCCTTTTTCATCCTGGTTTTGTCATTCTCATATGTGTCACCTGTGGTTGACACAATATTGACTAGATAAGTGGAAGAGATTTCCGCCATCGTTAGTGATTGTTGTTGGTTGGGTATTTTCACCACCTGTATCTTCTCTATGTTCATTTGAAGTCCTGCCTTTGCTACCTGTGTCTTCTGTCACTCTGTTGGTTTTTGCTAGCATATCTTCAGGTTTATGTGATATTAGACATGAATCATTCTCGAAGTCCAGTTCTTTCGGAGTGTTTTGTCGGTCTAAAGCATATCTATTTTGTCACTCTCCACAGTCTGCCGTATGATCGATTCCACAATCGGCAATATCACTGGTAATAGTAGGCAACCTTGTCTCATACTGTTTACTTCGCTTTAAAGAATTTTCTGAGCATTTTACTGTGAATCACCTGGCATCTGAAATCATCATATATCTATTAATGAAGGTCTGGGGTACCCTGTGGTGTGGAAGTAATTCCCACACCGCTTCGTGGTTAACCCTATCAGATGCCTTTATGAAAACCGATGGAACTGAGGTGATTTGACTGCTACTTCGTGCTCTGTTCGATGATGACGCGTACAGCTGCAATCTGGCCTGCTATCCTAAGTTAAGCTTGTTCCCGGTGGAGTTCTGCACCCAGTTCACATTTCAGTCTCTCTAAGATAACATACAAGAGCGTGATTCTGCGCCTGTCTTTACAGAGGCCTAAATCACTCCTTCAGCAACGAGAAAAAATTGCATTTCTTCAAATCGGTACGTACGTTTTATCACCCTATCCTAAGTGACAACTAAATGTAAGGACTAGTAAAATTTTAATACCAAACGCAGTGACGAAGACGAAAGCAACCTTAATAACAATTTTTCAGGAGATAAGTGCATAACAAATCGAGTAGCATTTTAACTGGCCTGCACCCTGTGTAAATAAATCCCCAGTCCAATATACGTCTTGATGGAATGCAGACATCGATTCTCTGATCGCTAAGGTAAGACATGACAACTCGTATTCTAACCTAACAGAATTTCGACGTGGTAGTGAACTATTTCATGAAGAAACTAAGGCATGAATTCATGCATGGCAATATGAGCTTCACTCCATCATTTACAAATTCATATATTCATAAGAAAGGGGACAAATAATCTAGTGATTAACAGTTAATTAGGACTAAATCAAGCTGAGACTGAGATGATAATTTGAAATAAAATGAACAGACATATTTACGAACGACATAAATTAAATTTCATGAGGGGGAATAAAAACAAAATCAAATGTTTTCCGTCACCAGGAGAAATTCTCATTTTCCCCGTTACGATTTGTAAATACTATGTGAAATTTGCCGTCATCCTGGTGTTTGATTCTATTTTGAGACACATATGACAAACAAAATATTTTCTTGGCATCAGACACATTGGAAACTAACGAAAGCATTCAATGTTTCTCACAAAATACTCAAACAGTTTAATGCTAACCCACATCCTCTAGAATACTAAAAACACACCCCTCATGTTGCTGAAATGAATTTTCCGTCAAGGTCAGTGGGTTTCCTAAATAAAATAAAATTTAAAATTTGCTAGTTGGGGATAGAAAGCTTGAAGTCTATGCTGTTTATTTTCTAATAATTTTCCGAGCTTATATAAATGCTTCTTGAACTAGCTAACTGACGGCGCTGTCACCTCTTATACTGAGAGTTGGTTTTAGGCGTCCAGATTCAGATGATAAGGATAGAAGGCTCTTGTGGCCTGTGTTAATCCTTGCAAAATATGTCACTGCAGAGATCTAACTTCTTTTTGAAAGCGTTCACCGATGGAGCTGATACTACTGAATCAGGTAAGGAGTTCCAACTGTGCGTCGGTGGCACAGTGGTTAGGACTCTCGCCGACCATGCACATGGTCCGGGGTTCGAGCCCACGCCGACGCACACCTGATATCTATGGTCGGCCTGCGAATTTTGGGCTGCCGATATCCACGCTGAAAATTCCACACTTGTACCAAAAATACAGTGTGGAATCAAGCTGTAATCAAAATAAAAATAAATCGTTGACCACTCTGTGAGAGAATCTAAATTCTGCACGTATTTTAATAGTCCTCGGTTTGAGCACCTTTTTGCGGTGACCCCGTAAATGTATCCTAGAAGGGGAGAAAAGGTTAGAAAGTTCAGTTCCTAAATCACCCTTAAGTATACGGTATGCTAAAATTAAGTCGCCTCTCTTCCTTCGGTATGATAACGGGAAGGGATTTAAATGCTCCATCCTCTTATCATAAGGAAGGTGTGAGATACCACTAACTAATTTTGTTCCTACTCTCTGTACTCTTTCCAGAATATGTGCCTCCTTTTTGAACATGAATTGGTCGCTTGTATGCAGTATTCTAGATGAGGCCTGACATATGTTGCATAGAGTATTTGGAACATGCCTTCGTCTAATCGTTTGAAAGCCCTTCGAATTGTCCATAGCATTCGAAAAGCTTTAGCTGCGGCTGCATTGCAATTTGCAGTTGTTTTCAAATTATTGCTGACAATGATTCCTAGGTCCTTCTGTTCGTTAACATCAGGTAGTTCTGCGTCCCCTAGGGAGTACGACGTATGAGACTTCTGACCTAAGTGCATTACCGCGCTTTTCCTAGCATTCATTTCCAAACTCCATAGGCTTGACCACTCAGCTAATTTATCTAAATCACTTTGTAGGGCCGACCTATCCTCGTTATTGTTTACAGTTTTCCAGATCTTAATGTCATCTGCAAATAATAATGAAGATGAAGAAAGAATCCCTGGTAATTCGTTAACGTATAATAGGAATAGCAATGGACCTAATACAGTTCCCTGGGGCACTCCACTGGATACTGCTTTCCATCCTGATAGTACACCGTTAACTCTAACCTTCTGCCTTCTATCCATTAAGTAATCTCTAAACCACTCACATAGGCATTGGTCTAGTCCGAAACCTTTAAGTTTACTAAGGAGACCTAAGTGGGATACTTTGTCGAACGCCTTGCTAAGATCAATAAAAACCACGTCCAACAGATGGTTCCTATCTCTGGCCTCAACCCAGTCTTCCCTAGCCAAAAGTAGGTTTGTCAAGCAGGATCGTCCTGGTCGGAATCCATGCTGTTCCACAGCCAACAAGCCATGTGTTTCAACATAAGCTAATAGTTGATCCCTTATAATAGTTTCCAATACCTTTGCAATAATGCATGTCAGACTTACCGGCCTGTAGTTAGATACCAATTGCCTATCCCCGTCTTTGAAGATAGGGCTTATAATGGCATCCTTCCAGTCCCTGGGTAGCTTAGCCTGCGTCAGAGACATTTGGAAAATCTCCGTAAGCGGAATATATATTATATCCGCTAAGTCCACCCGGCCCAGGTGATTTACCTGGCTTCAGTTTAGACAGTAGTTTGAGAACCTTTGTGTGCTCTACCACAATTGAGGGCATCTGAGTGGCGATGGCAGTGACCTCGCCATATCCCTGGGTGGTACTATCAGACGAGAAGACGTCACAGAAGTATTCAGAGAGGTTTTCAGCCTTTCCTTCGTCTGACTCAGCCGCTTCTCCACTAATGGTTATGAGTGACGGTATACCACTGCTAGTTTTAGTCCTACGTTTAATATACGAGTAAAACCTTTTTGGGTAATGAACGCAATCTAGTACTAATCGTCTCTCGTACTCTATACGACTCTTGTTAATCGCATACTTACAGAGGTTTCGAATTTTGCGGTAGTCTTTCTGGAAGTTTCCCTTCCTGTCATAACAAATTGGTCCCATAAGTTCTTTCGCCGTCTTAATAACCTCCTTATTTCACTAGTGATCCAAGGTGGTTCATGCGACAGCTTTCGAGGAGTGTACCAAGGTATAAAAGGTGAAGTGACACGATCTAGTGTATTCCTAAATCCTACCCAAGCTTCCTCGACAGTCCGACTTGTATCAACTGACCAGTCAACCGCAGTTGCTGCGTTCCGGATTCCTTGTATATCCGCTTTCCAAATGTTTGGACGAGCAGATTTTGGCCTGTGTATGAGAGAATGAATCTTAAACGTAAAAGCAATGACTATGTGGTCACTGCTGCCAAGCGGCGGAAGGCACCTAATGTTACCAACGTCCTCCTTCTGGTGTGTCAATACCAAGTCTAGAGTAGATGGATCATGTTCAGGGTGATACCGTGTTGGTGCATGCATATGTTGCACGAGTGCACATTCAAGCACTGTCAATGTGAGCTCCCTATTGAAACAGGTATACAAACTAGTGGAGTTTAATTCCCCCCAATTAATATGTGGAGCATTAAAGTCGCCAACAATCAGACACCTATTTCTACTACCCCACGCCCTCAAGTGATTTAGAACGAAGTCATCAGCTTGGCTAGCAGGACTTCTGTAAATAACTCCGATCGTTAAAGTGCCTTTGTTTAAGTTAATGATGCAACTTGCGGCTTCACTGGTGCCGCTGTCATGAGCTTCTGACAACGTTGACCTGATCCCTATGTCATCCTGGATGTATAAAGCAACCCCCCACCTTTCCGACTACTTACTCTGTCTGCTCGTATGCAGATATACCCAGGTATGAGTGGAGTTAAGTCTACACCCACTAACAACCATGTCTCAGTGATAGCAATCACATCAGGTTGTAGTCTTTCAGATAATTCTCCTAATTCGGCGAGCTTATTCCTAAGACTACATGCGTTCGTATAGCACACCGAAACACCTACGTGTTCATCCGGCTTATGAAGAGAGGTCTCGGCAGCATCGGTTTCCGAGACCTCACCACCCGAAAACCCAATACCTTAAGGTCCTTCTCGCCTTTCTCTAGCCTGGCCTTTAGTTCAGCCACGGCTTCTCTTCTTTTGATTCTATACTCTAAAGGCCAATCAGGCCTTATTTTTAAACTTTTGTCGTTGACTTTGAACGCGTTGTTGAGGATGGTCCTCTTCTCTTTTTCGTTCCCTAAAACTACCTTAAGTAGTCGTTGAGAAGTTTCTGTAGCATCAGGATTTCGTTTTCCGATCCTGATGGCCTTTCTTACGTGTACTCCAGCTGTTTTTCGGGAAGTATTTCCCGGATAATCGAGCTAATTGCCTTCAGATCATCTGCATGCCGGGCAGCTGGATCTGTGTTCTTAGATTCCTCCGAGTTCCAGATGATAACACTGTAACTAGAGTCCGTGGGTTTCTGAGCTTGGCTGGTACTAGCAGCCGTCGAGACCTTGTTGGTAAACTCGGCTACTGTTTCTTTCCTAGTTTTATTTTGCTTCTTACCTTTCGGCAGCAACCAAGTGGAGTCGGTTTCTCCTACTCTGTTTTCGCCGCAACTTGAAGCAATTCGTGCACTAGACACACTGCGATTTGGTGTTGCTATTTCACAGGCTGGTGTTGCCATGCTAGCACTACTTGCCCTTTTGGATTTCCGTTGTCTTTTGCATTTTGCAGCAACAGATGTTTGAGCATTTTGTGCTTCTTTTGCTTCTGAGGCTTCAGGAGATGATGCACCCTCAGTTTGTGACTTAGTGGGAGAACCTGTGTTCCTTGGTGATATACTCCACCTCGACTTTTGAACTTTCTTTCTTTCCACCTTTTAAGGTGTCACGGCTTCATGGAAAAGAAAAGATGAGGTGTATTAGGTCCTCAGCCATATCTTAGAACTCTGAACATTATGATGAAATCTCCTCTCCGCTAATGGTATAACAAAGATAAAAGATTCCGATTGATAAGTCTTCCCTCTTATAATAATTCACCATACCGAGACACGTAGATATAACCTTTCTCTCCAGAATGTATGAATCCTCCTTAAGAAAGTGGCTGGCTGTCTGGATGCAGGTTTACAGTTGTGTCCTCACTGGAGATGTACATAAAGAAGTAAACATATCCCTGGGGATTACAGCAAACGTACGGCGTAATGTATAATAATCTGAAATATCTAGCTGACACGAAGTGGCAGTGCGCAGCAGTTTTTAGGTATTGACTTGTCGTGACACATTGATTCGTTGTAGTCTGGTTTGGTAGGAGCGTTATTTTCTTCGAGCTGGTATGTGCTGACACCTCTGTGTCCTGTCTGCAAGAATGAGCGCTTCACTACACTGAATGATGGAATTCACTCTTTGGACCGACCTAGCAGTTTGTTGGGATCATGTAACGTGAGCATGCGATCATCAACCTATAGATATATTCAAATTCTTGGGCCATCTCTAGAGAACCATCTGAACCCAGATATTTCACGCATGTAAAGGATAAATAAAAGGGAGCCGAGTACAGTGCCACGTGGAACTCTGTAATGTGCTCTTTTCCAAAAGCTTTCGGGCTAATCTTAATTCTCCTTTTTACATGTGAGGAACTGCTCAATACAACTGTAAATGCACTGGTGTCAATGTAGTTGAAGATTGAACGATCAATTCATGGTTGTTTGCTCAAACCCAACTTCCCCATATTTTTCGCGGAGTCATCAATCCAGCAGTCATCGTCTCATCGGTCGCTGTTCAGAAAGAAGTCAGGAGACAACCGTCAGAAGTAATATTGTGATTTG